CCCCAAAACCCCAAAACCCCAAAACCCCGTAATTTATGAGATAGGTTGAACAATCCATTAGAACAATATTTTAGCCATTTTTCTCCTACTTTGAATGACGATTTCATTGTTAGAACCCAGCTTAGCGAAGACTTCCATAAGAAGCTTCATGGCAGCAGATTCGTTCCAGTTTCTATCAATAGCCAAGATGTCGATAAGATAGTCTATAGAGTCTGCATGCTTGTCTTTAGAGATGTAACGATTTGCGATGTCAAACATGACTTGTCACATCCTATAAATGATTATGAAAATTTACTTATTCTTATTGTCTCCTTCTTCTAATGGATCTGCTGAGATTTGATCATACTTTTCCATAAGAGAGGTCAAGACTTCATCCTCAGCTTCGTTAGCTTTTAGCTCCTCCATTGTATGCTCATATTGGTCTAGTATCTTCTGTTGTTCATCATTGAGTGTATGGGTTCTGAATTTTCCATGCCATTTAGCATGCCATTCTCTTGCTTGCATATCATCGCCTAATTTTGCATAGCAAAAAGCAACATAAAGATACATTTTGCAAGTCTGATCTTCAGTCAGTTTGGCAGTTGAGAGAGATTGTCTGAAGATCTCTGATGCTGAGTGATAGTCACCGCTTCTGACATGATCTTCAGCAGCAATGATAATTTGCTCAATTGTTTTATCATCATGCTTAAGTTGCTCAAGCAGCTTTGCAGTGTTGATAAAATCTTTCAAACGTTCGCTGTTTGGAACTCCCACAAAAGTATCCATGACATTACCTTCTGATACCAAAAATACTGCTGGAATGCTTCTTACACTGAGTCCATTGGCAATATCAGGAAGTTCATCGATATTGAGTTTAACTAATTTGAATTTTCCATTTGCTTTAATGGCTTCTTCTTCCAACAAAGGTGTGAGCTGTTGACATGGTCCACACCAGTCAGCATAGCAGTCCAGAATAACTGGATTCTTTGATTTCATGACCACATCAGCCCATTCATCATAGCTCTTGAGTTCCACCACAGACTCTATAAAATCAAGAGCAAAGAGTTACCTTCAATACTGCTGAGCATATCTTTAGCACTAGCCATGGCTGCTTGCTCGCCTTCATCAAAGTCAGGCTTCTTGGTAGAAAATGACATTGAGCTCACTCTAAAAAGAGAAGAACTGTGACCTGATCTTTGATGCATAAAAGAGTTTGAAAATACTGAAGAGGCTCTTAGCCTTGGCATCCTGGCTGCTTTAACTGTACTGCCTATAAATAATCATTCTTTAGGACTTACCAGCGACGAAAGGGATAACTCTTGCTGAGAATATCTTTGATAGCATCTTTATAATTAATTTATATCCCCTTGTTTCACGGAAATGCTTTGGGAAGGGGTTTTGGGGTTTTGGGGTTTTGGGG